ATCGAAGCGTTTTTTAATGCTCTACAAGTTGATAACGATAATTTTAAAGTTACTTCTACGTTTTTTAACAAAATTTTCAAAAAAGTCTTATTTTCCAAAATTTTTGATTTTTAAAAGTTTAATAACTCCGGTTAATATGGACGAAAAATGTTCAATTAGGGCTCAAAAGATGCGTCTAAAAAAACTCTACAAAATTATGAAAAAACATTTATAGGTGTCCTAACATTTTTTTAAAGTTATGGTCAAAAAACGTTTTTTTGCAAAATTAAAAATCAAAAAAAAATTTAGTTAAACTTTATTAATATATCAGAAAGTACTCTCGCTTTATGTCCGCAGGTGAGATCTACAATTTAAAAAAAAATTCAGTCCAATAGCTCTTCATGATTTCGAGATATTTATGAAAATGTGATGTTTACACACACACACACACACACACATACGGAATGACATTTTTTAAAAATGTCATTTTTGAACTCCTGAGGTCAAATAACATAAAGATATGTCAAAAAATCGAACTCGAAAAATTTCGGTATTACAATACTTCCTCTATGAGGAAGTAATAGTATAATTCTTTGCAAAAATTCAATTATTTTTAAAAAACACGATTATTTTAAAGAATTGAAAGAAATTGTTCTTGAAATTTAATTCTTTTTAAAATTTTTAATTAAAATTATTAAAGAAACTCTATTTTAAAAAAATTCAAAGATATTCATCAAAAAGAATTAAATTAGAGTTTTCAAAAATTTTAATAAAATTCTTTCAAGGAATTCTATTAGTATCAAATTTTTTGATAAATTTCTTTGCAACAATTCGGTAATTCGCAATACATTAAATTGAAAATTGAAAATATTTAAAAAAGAAATATTATTAAAAAAGTTAAAAAACAAAAAAGCTAAAAACAACTTCAAAATGCAAACAGATTACCGGAAAACAAAAATATTATTAATATAGATTTTATTTAAATATTTATTACTCAATAAAGAGAAAACGAAAGTTTTAATTATTACACTTTTAGCATATTCTTTTTAATTTAAATTTTAAATAAGTAACTTTATTTTAAAAATTGGACATTCGATTAATTTTTTCAATTTATTCGCAATATATTCTTCTTATTAAACAGGTCAGTTTTTCTTGTGGAAATTTTGTTTAAATACTAAGATATTTTGTCGATATAAAACTCTTAAGACATGATATTTCGAGAGGACGAAAAAAAGTTTTTCTCCTACGAAACGAAGAACTTTGGATACTGATGTTTTTGAAGTCCCACTCAAAAAGTTATTTCAACTCAATAACATCCCGTTACTTTAATATATGACCCTTTATAACTGATGTTAAAAAAGTTTTTCAAAATGTACCTGAAATATTCAAAAAAAATTTTTTTTTACTTTTTTTGTTTTCCATAAACCCATTACAAGATTTCCACTTGTTGTATTTATTAAATAATTACAAATTTAATTAAATCTAAATATTATATTTCTTAACTCCTTTTCTGTATTTCTAAACTATTTTCAAATGTAAATTCTTCAATGTAATTGAAAAATTCTCTCAATTTCTCTTATATAAGCAAATAAATAAATAATAAATTATCAAAGAAATTGAGATTAAAATTTGATGAAAAAGGATTAAAATATATTCTTGAGGGGCAATCGTAGGATTATAGTGTTGGTTTATGATGTCTCCAGAGTGTCCAAAATGCTTACATCTCCTTTTTTCTCTCACAGTAAAAGTGCTTTATTCTCCATGAAAGCGAGTCTTTCGGGATTTTTCGTTTATGAAAACTTTGTATGGTCATGCAATCTTCTTCAAAAGCGTTATATGTGCGCGATGGATAAAATGGTTTCGAAATAAAAGAAAAGAGGGAAAAAACTGCAAATTCAGCTAAACCAACAATCGAGTTCGTTTTCTCTTTTTATATTTATATATATTATAAGCAAACACGCAAAAAAAAGTTATATCCATATTTGCTCCGCGCTTTTTTCCAATGAGCTTTCGAAGGAGGAGTGCATTCAAGCTAATATAGATAATTAGAGAAAAATTTTTTCCATTTACCACACAAGACGAAAAAAATACTATTTATTTGGAAAAATTGATAAAATTTTTTTTTTCTAAACTTACAGAAAAGAATTTTATTAATTTCAATGTAAAGTTAAACAAAGATGTAAATATCCAGATGTTTATTAAATTGATATTTTGCTTCCTCTTTACGATCAGCAAAAAAATTCTCTTCCTCGTGGAGGAAGGATTAAAATTTAAAGAACTATTTAATGATTTCTTTTACAAATCGATAAATTTTAATTTATAATTTATATTTATAATTTAATAAAAATATTTATTTATAGCCCAGGAGAAAAAAGATTTGGGAATTTCCAGGCAAGATTTTTTTATACTTTTTTTTTGAAAGGAGGAAAGCTTTCGTGTAAAATTTTGAGTCTGTTAATCATTGAGTTAAACCTGAGGCGACATTGTTTCCACAAGGAACTTTCCACTTTGAGTTGAGGACGAAATTCACAGAATAGATTATGCGGTAATCCACAATCGAATTTTATTAGTACTTTAACAGCCAATGGTGCCCAGGAAAGTTTAGCGCGTTTAGCTAACGACGTAACAACAAAATATCCCACATCTAGAGACAGTTTATTTACTCGAGATTTTTCAAATCTATTTTTTCAATTCAATGTATAAAATGTTTTGTTCTGTGTATTTGTAAAAATAGCTGAGGTGGTATTTTAAAAAAATTGAATTATTAAGCACGATTATTTAATTGTTAATTAAAAGATAGTTGGCTAATAAACTAAATAAATAAATTTATACTTTCTCACTGCATTCTCTTTCTTTTATTTAAATTAGATTTCTCTAGACAGATTTTTAAAATTCATTCCAACTTTTCAGGCCAATCTATTATTTACATTTATATTAACATAATAGATTGATGGTCAACAGTTCATTTTTTAAACAAAAGAATTTTTCATGTAACATCATTTGTGTTTGAGTAAACACCTGAAGAATAGTTTCCTGAATATAAAAATATTCTTCTATATACAATTTGAAAATATGTATTTTGGTTTAGTTTATTTCTCCCCCACATAAAAAAGAAACAAATTTACATAATCAAATTACAATATCGGTACATGAAATATTTTTATAAAACTTTATATTTAAACGAAACAATTGAAGGATATTTTCTGTTAGTCGCTTTTTAAACTGTTGTCCTTTTCAGTTTTCTTTTTTATTGTATACACAAAATTAGTTTTTTTTTCCTCTACCTCTCTCATTTCTTATATATATATATATTTTTGATCAAATTGCGCTTACAAGCTTTGTGCAAATGCTAACACACTGATTGTTTTTACTGCAGCATACTGTACACATACATAGAGAGAATCGAAGAAGAAAATGGATTCGTTTCACGTTTTCTCTTCAATAAAAAAAGAAGAAGAAAAAAAAATAGATAGTGTATTGACTTCCCCCAGCGTAGAGTCCGCATTCAGGATGCGCGACTCCGAGGTATAGAGAAAGAGAGAGAGAGAATTCTTGCCCACAAAAGCAGGTGACATATCGGACACCTGAGTCACTCTCAAATCCATATACATTGGATTTACGAGTCCCTCTTCCGTTTATCATGAATCAATTGAGATACACTATTATAATTTATATGCACACAATCAATATTTTTTACCGTCAACCCACTTTTTTTTCAATAGACATAGAGACGATTAGAAAATAAAAAAAAGAGTTTATTTGAGTTTCAGAAGAAAAATTCTTTTGAATACTTTATTTATTTATGAGAAATTAGTCCTTGATTGTGATTCGGTTTTAAATTTCCTTATTGCAATTACAAAATATTTTTTTTCTTCTATAAAATGCTATTATATTTTAATTATTTAAATTTTAAATGTTAGGTAGTCTCCAAAGGAAGCTTATTTAATTTTCAAAAAATATATTTTAATATACATTAAATTTTATAAATTAAATATTTTACAATTTGGGGAAAAACCGAAATTTTGACATAGAAAATACTAAACAGTGAATCAAATAATATAAAATTAAGTAAAGTTATATTAAAAAACTAAAATTCTTATATTTGATATAATTATACTAAATTTCACATAAGTTTCCGTTTTTTTTAAACTTTAGTATTTTTTATATCAAAATTTCGTATTTTTTCCCCAAATTATGAAATACTTTTACAAAATTTAATATAATTTTCTCACAGTGTATAAAATGCATTAATATTTTTTTTAACAAAAGAAACAAGAAAATACAAATTTTTTCATAATACAAAAATCTAAAAGATAAGCCGAAATCATGAAGTTTAATACTAAAGTTTTTTTTATTAGACAACCATAAAAGTTTACGTATCACTTTCTATTTAAAAATCACGTATCTCCACATGCCAATGTTCAAGATATATTTAATTGTTTTAAAAATTTAAAAACAACTAAATGAAACTTGAAATAGAATTTTTTTTCAAAAATACATTACCTACATAATTTAAATATTTAAAAAAAAAAAAAATAGAATTTAGATTTAATAAATATTTGAAATTATTTCTCTTTTAATATATCAGTGATTCCGAAAATAAAAATTAATCACTATTTTCATTTTTAGCAAAATATTTAAAATTTTATATTTTTTGGAAAATTTTTCTTAACACTTTGCAATAATTATTATGCTGCAATAAAAAATTAAATGATTGACAAATAGAAAGTTTAATTCTCATCAAATATTCGTAAAAAAATTAGAAAATTATGTTCCATGATAACATGGAGATTTTTTGCTTTTTCAAGAAGAAATAATTTGTACCTATAATTAATTGGTTCTCTTATGTTTCGAGATCATTTTCTTGTAAATTTAAGAATAAAAATATTTTTCAATATTATAATCAGTTGAAAACTTTATTTTCTTGAAAATAAATTTTTTTGTTACTTATCTTAAAACACGATTGAAGATCACGTTTTAAATATTGTTTTTAGAGATACATTAGAAAGAACATAAAATTCTTTAGTATATAAGGAAGAGTTTAGTGGATTTTTCGTATTGTGAAATATTCAAAGTCGTTGCTAAATAAAAGTGAAAATGAATCATTTTTCATTTTTAATTTTGACTGTCAGTTGTATTTTTATAATACCTTCTTACGCAGATCAGAATGTAAATATTCGTAATACAAAAATATATTCGATTTAAAACATAAGGATTAAAATACATTTCACTTTTATTTCTTTCACAGACTGCTGAATTAAATGTAAGTTTAACCTGATTAAAAAATCCTATTACTAATTAATCTGTCAATATTTCAAAACTATGTGATATATTGACTTTATAGTCATTAGAATACTGGAAATGTCTTCTATTATCATAAACTGCACTTTAGAGTTAAGAAATGAATAAGAATACAAACATTTTACTGTAAGGTGGTAGCAACACTTCACAAAGCGAAGTTTTAATGGATAGTAAAAAAATAAAGAATAAAAACATCTGTTTATTTTAAATTTATTTTTCTAAAAATATCGCTATAATTATTTTTACAATCTAAACATAATAATCATCATTTCTTTTTAATTTATTTTTCAGCGGTTAATAGAAAATGTAAGTAAATAAAAAAATTTAGATTGTACTAAATGAAGATTAATTTTAATAAATTTTACATATAATTAGCATATTTTTAAAAACAATTTTAATTTCATGAATTAACGTGCTTATATTCTTTGTTTCTTCTTTTTTAGTTGACTGCAGAAAAGGTAAGTGTAACCAAGTGAAAAATCAAAAATATTCATTTATTTAGCTGTATTCAAAAACTCTACCATTTGTTGCCTCAACTTCGCACACTGTTGAGACCTTATAAAAATAATAATAAATTTAATAATTACAATTAATAATTGGTAATTCATTTTTTAGAAATATTTGGAAGAAGTAAGTATATGTAAAATTAAAAACATTTATATGGGATTAAAGGAGAAAAAATTTCTATAAGTGTAACATATAGTTAACATATTTTATGAACACTTTTTATTCTCATATTGACAATTAAGACTTCATTCTGTTTTTTTAATTCTTTTAGAAAATAAGGGATGCGGTAAGTGTAACTTAAGTAAATATATATTAAAGGAAGAAGTTAACAATCTCTCCAAATCATTTCTTATTTAAAACTTCATTAAGATTGCATGTATATCGACAGCACAACCGTCTTAATAAACAATAAAGTAATACAGAAACCTGCTTTTTCAGAAAAATATTTTTCGAAATCAATTAACAATTTCAAAATTATCAAAAAACTCAGAAAAAACTTGTCTAAATGTATTAATTTTATTGTATTTTAAGATTAATTGTAACTTTTTAAATTTTTTGAGGACAAATTGTTTAAAAAAGTAAGTGTATTTACAATATCAAAAATTATAAATATGGCACAAATTTCTGTTCCCCTAGGATAGTCAGAATTCCGTACGTTAAACCCTAATTAACTAATATTTTAATTCACTTATCAGTAAGATATTTTTAAAAATCACTAGTTTAATTTATCATTTATTCTAAGGTTGACAAAGATTGCATTTTTTTAACTTATAAACAGCACTTAAATATTTCGACTGTTATGTAAAAAAAACCCATTTTTTTACAGGGGGCAGCGACAAAAACTTTCATGGTATTTAAAAAAAAAAAAAATTTATGGATATATTACCAACTAATAAGATAAAAATTTCGATTAAAAATTGTATTTAATCAAGTACACATATTTCCTTTTAATGAATAGAACTTATATTAATAAGGGTTCATACCACTTTGTTAACTTTAAGAAATCAAAAAAATTTTTATTACGGATTTCGAAAGTAAAATATGTTAAAAATGTGCAGTGAAAATCGTATTGACTATTAAATAAATAAGTTAATTATAAGTTTAAAAAAAAAGTGCACCTGCGCCAAGTTACCCTACCCGAGCGGGTAATACGGCGCACTCTAAGCCTGAAGTATAAAAAGAAAGGGAAATTAATTGCAATGTTAAAAAAATTTTATTTTGATGCAAAAATGTATCTTAATTCATAATAATAAGGTAATCAATAATAATCAATTCCCGCTAACTATTATTTCTGACTCTTAAAAAGTCTTGAATTTTTTAAAAATAAGAGTTTTTCTATAATCTTTCTTATTGATTCATATAAATTGAAATATATTTTCAAATTACATAAAGTTGTGGTAAACTATACACTGTAAAAAATTTAGGGAGTTAACGGACTCGGGAGTTAGGAGTGAAATTTTTCGAGTTAAAAATCAACTCCAAAAGAGAGTTAATTTACTAACTCCCTCTAACTCCCTTCATTTAACACCCGCGCGAGTTATTTTTTCCTTGGGGAGTTAGCATTTGGGTGTAAAGTTTTAACTCTCTTTATTTAACTCCCCTGGCATTAACTCCCCAATGGGTGCGACTTTTATAGACCCCCCGGGGGAGTTAAAATTTAACTCCCTTTTTTTACAGTGTATTTAATAAAGAGGTATAAACCCTTAAATTCATATTATTAACATTATGTTTAAAACGATTCACAATAGATGCAGATACATTGAAAAAAGAATTTTATTCACCTTGATTTTATTTGAAACATAAGAATTAAAATGCTTTTCCCTTTTGTTTCTCTTGTAGAGTTCTAAAATACGTGTAAGTCAAACATAATTAAAAAATTCTATAACTGATTTATTTGCTAATATTTTAAAACTATGTTATACATTGCCACTACTTTACAATTAATAAAATACTGGAGAAGTATTTTACTTTTATTTCGTTTAGAGTTAACAAAAATTTTTAAATATAATCATTTTACATTAAGGTAGTAGTGATACTTCACAAAGCGAAGTTTAATTATTATAAGTTGAAATCATCATTTCATATATTAATTGTAATCATTTTGACCATAATAAAAAATATAAATTTTTTAAAATTTTGCAGGAACAAGCTGAGTCAGTAAGTGTATTGACAATTTATAAAAATATCATTAAATTAAAAGAAATGTATTGTCAAGAAATATTGAATATCCTGATTAAAAGCTAATAGTGTATATATTTTTCTGTTGTACTAAAATATTGAGGTTTCTCAAATAGTATTATTTACATTATTATTCTTTTTTGTTTCTTTTTCTTCTTTAGAATAAGAGGGGATGGGAGCAACAACACAAGGTATAACAATACTGAATATTAAAAATATTATAATTGTTACTACTATTAATGCGATCAATTTGTAAACTTTATTGGTTTTGAATTTAAATTTCATACTGTAATTAACTATAAACAAATGTTAGCTGTTCCTCAAGGCACTTTTCCTATGTGACGGTTTGAAAAAATCGATTTTTATTGAGGTTCACGCGATAACAGTAAGCCTACTGAGTAAAACTACGTTTGATATTTTTATTTCAGACAATACTGAAGAAAGTTATCATTGCGACCGTTCACCCGTGCATTTTCAAAGGAGTCACCTTTGACTCATAAAAATAATTATTAAATGATTTGAAAAATCACTAAAAAAATTTTTTTGGTATATTTTTAGACACCAATTATAACATGTAAAATAAGTTATAGAATTATATTTTATTTTCTGTGAAACAAAAATACCTGAAAAAAGCCTGAAATTTTGGCCGTCACATAGGAAAAGTGCCTTAAAGGGATTATTAGCCCTAGGAACCATTTTTTTCTTTAAATAAATTAAATAAATATGACTTTCTATTGTCACCATTAGGAAGTGGAAACAATGGTAAGTTGTTTTTTAATTATAATGTGAATATTATTATAATTCATAATTCATAATTATAATTCATTATTCATTCAGTTTTTCATTTCATTTAAAACCACTGTCAAGTTTTATCATTAATGGTTTTATCTTGGTTATAATTTCATTAACAACTTTGCTTTATGCACTTAAAAAAAATTCTGGTTGGAAGAACCAGAATTTAATTTTTAAATTGTTGTTAACATTTTTTCAAGACCCTTAATATTATGACTTTAAATATAAATATCTCTTTCTGCCTTTTAGATTGAGAATCTACAGAAAGTAAAAGTATTGACAAAAAATTAATACTCTTGATATAATTTCTATGAAAATATTTACCCTAATAAATTAACTTAATTAACTTAAATAAATTAAACTTTTTTTGTAGCAGGAAAAACAAGAAAATGTAATTATTTTTGATACCTATAGTGTGCGAATAATAATATAAAAGAATTCATTTAAAAACCATTGAAAGAAAACATTATTTTACATTTAACTAAGTTTACTTCGCATATTTTATGAAAACTTGATATTCTTATGTTACTAATTCTTGATTCTTTTAATGTTATTCTTCAGAGAAAAACTACTCAGGTAGGTATATTAAGAGTTATCCGGTAGAGATAGAACACCTTTCTTAAGCCTTTCCAAATTTAAAAGAAATAAACATCGCAATCTAATTCAAGTGCAATGCATACTGTTCTCATTTAACAATATTTTAAACAATTTTTATAAACAAATAGTTTTTTGAAAGACACAAATATTGAAAAAAAAATTTGTCTCCATATCGCACTTATTTTTAAAGCTGCAATGAATGTTGAGAATAAAAATTTGTTTAACATTATTATTTAATAGTGTTATAAACAATTTTATAATTTTATCATTACTCTACAAATTTTATAAACAAATTAAGAATTGACAACAACTGAAGCTGATAAATAGTGTCTTTCTTTTTTGACTTTTTTACTGTTCTCTTAATAAATATTGGAGATAAAAATATTCACCACAATCATTTAACAACTTTATAAACAATTGTTATAAACAAATTCCAAATTTGAAACAAGTAAACGTTTAATAATTTCGTTTTTACTTTTACTATCTTTTTTTCTCAAGGAATAACGAATCTTGAAACTTCAATTTACTTATTAATATTGTTTAATAAAGTTATTAACAATTGTTGCAAACAAAGTACATATTAACAATAAAATTGAATATAAAAAAATTGTTTAATATTGACTTAATTCAAATGCAACAAAAATTAAAATACGTTTTTTATGTGAGAGTAATGGCAAGAACAGCATTTTACTTCATTTATTGTTTATAACTTTATTAAACAATATTAATAAGTAAATTAATGTTTCAAGATTCATTTTTCCTCTAGAAAAAAAATAGTTAAAGAAAAAAGGAAATTTCCACACGTTTACTTGTTGCTAATTTGGAATTTGTTTATAACAATTGTTTATAAAGTTGTTAAATAATTGTGGTCAATAATTTATATCTCGAAGATTTGTAAAGAGAACAGTAAAATTCTTACTAATTCTTGATTCTTTTAATGTTATTTTTCAGAGACCAATTACTAGTGGGGTAGGTATATTAAGAATTAAAATCTTAATTTAAATTAATTAAATTTATTATTCTGTCAAAAAGGAATCAATTATAATCCGCAATTAGAGAATTCTTGATTTTGTATAACACTAATTTTTTTTTTCTATGCGCAGAAAGAAGGATCCTCATGTATGAATACATTGGCCACCGTGTTATGCTCCTTGTTCTCTTCGTTATGCATTTTTCAATACTTACTTTATATTTAAAGTTATAGTTTTCTTTTCTTATACGAAATTAATTACAATTTTCTTTATAAAAATGTGGATTTTCAATTCTTTTACATACATCGTTCTTTTTTAAGGTTGAATTTTGATTGTAAACTAAAATTGCATTCACTATTGTATTTGAATAAATTAATGTTGTTAATATGAAATGCATCTTCTTATTGACTACACTGTTATCTCTCTTTTGAATCACAAACACATTACCAACCCAATTTATGCTTATTATATTATTATTTTACTATTTTTTTCACCATAGAAAAAAATGTTTAATTAAACCATTTTACAAAAAGGAATAAATTGCTATTATCTCTAGAAAACTGGAACAAACAAACTGGGCCTGATTTATGCAGACATACAAAAATATTCTACTCATATAAAATATTGCTAATGAAAGGAGCCATTTCCCTATACAGTCATAAAGAATTTTCAAAAAAAAATTTAAATTTCCGCTTTCAATTTGCGTTTGATGATTTATTTTTGTCGGAAAACTGTTGAGTGAAAAGTGAAGAGGTGTGTGAAAAATAATATGGTACAAAAGAGTAAGCGGCGAATTGAAGAAAAGGGTCTCGCGATGGTAAGAGTACAAGGGAGGAAAGAGAAAGAGGAAGTAGAATAAAAAGAAGAAGAAGAAGAAGAAGTCTTTTGGAGAACTACTGGGAAATCTCCGGTGTGATTTGTACGAGGGGTTTGATTTATAAGTCTGTGAGTATTGCGAAGAGAAGGGTGTAGTATTTCCCCTTGGTTTCTTCTTCTTCTTCTCCTTCAGAAGAAGAAAAACTGGAAACCGCGTTCACTGTGCAAAAGAAGGGGTAAAATGGGATGAGAGGGGAAATAAAAAGTAGAACCCCACAACCGAGGAATCGTGTGCGGAAACCCAGAAATCATGCCTGCGGCATCACTTACAAGCATGATGCATCGCTTCCAAGTCAATTTCAGGCATATAGAAAGAATCATATAAGCTTTAAAATGGACCATTTTTTTCCATGCTGAAACGATTTTTTCTTTATCTACATTTATTTTTTGAATTGTCCTCGCAACGGGAAGTAAAATATTTGTCGAATTGATTTTCCAAGTGAAACATTTTGAATTCGATGAAAATGGGAAAGAGATAAAAATGAAAGAAAGAGAGAGAGAAAAAAAGAGAGATAGAAAGGAGAGAGAGAGAGAGGGGGGTGCAGAGAAGAGAAACAGAAGATTTGTTTCAGTCGTGGCGAGGTCTTGAAGATCCAGTGGTTACGACGATGTTTCCCAATGGCAAGGAAATAGTAGCAAAGTGTAACCTGATTTATGTTAGTCCCTCGAATACCCCTTTTCCTTCTTCAAACCGTCCCCATTCCTCTTTCGAGTCCAGCCACTGCATTCCAAATCCCAAAGGCTTCCTGGGATCAGGTGATACCAGGTGTCCTAATATCTCACCATCTCAAGTTGCCCATTAGGAACTTGGACCACTTTGTGACTATAAAAAATACCATCGATGACCAACTTTCTTTAGGAAGAACAATATTTTTTATAACACAATTTTTCTTCTCATCTTTTCTAACAAATATACGTTCTATGAAGAAAAAAAAGTTTTACATTTCGAAAAAGAAATAATTTACCCAGGGTAATTCCGGTAGAGAAAGAACACCTTTTTTTTTAACCTTTTTGCACTTAAAAGAATTAAACATCGTAATCTAATTCAAGTGCATTGGATATTGCTCTAATTTAACAATATTTTAAACAATTTTTATAAACAGTTTTTTGAAAGACACAAATATTGGGAAAAAAATTTTGCTTACATATCGCACTTATTTTTATAGCTGCAATGAATGTTGAGGATAAAAATTTGTTTAACATTATTATTTAACTGTGTTATAAACAATTTTATAAACTTATCATTACTCTACAAATTTTATAAACAAATTAAGAATTGACAACAATTGGAGCTGATAAATAGTGTCTTCTTCTTTCGACTTTTTTTTACTGTTCTCTTAATAAATCTTGGAAATAAAAATATTGACCACAATCATTTAACAACTTAATAAACAATTGTTATAAACAAATTCCAAATTTGAAACAAGTAAACGTTTAATAATTTCGTTTTTACTTTTACTACCCATGTGGAAGAGTTGCGGAAAATTTCCGGAAGAGACTTACGGAAATCATCCGAAAATTGAATTTTTGACAGAAATCATCCGGAAATCTTCTGAATATGTCTTTAAAAACATATTCAAAATGTTGCCCTGCAAAAATTTTGATACGTTTTTTGTCTCAATTTGATATTATAAAAAATAAATAAATACCGATAAATTAGTTCAAAATCAAATTATTTCTTTAATTAGTTATTATTTATAGAAGAAAAATTCACCACGAATGACAAAAAATAATTTTTTCAGATAAGGTGAATTTATTCTAAGTCATATTTTAATAATTTTTAAACAGAAAAGCATTTTTCATGCAAATATTTTTTTATCTTTAAACTATAAAGAAAATTATTTCTCCCAACTAACATGGTAAACCTGTAGCATTCTTATTGGCTCGATGCTAATAAACTCTATATAGATAACTAAAACACATTTTATGTATTTTTAGAAAATGTAAAAATATTTGAAATAAAAACTTATTAATACGTGGCGTATTGTTAATTCTTTAACGTCTGAATAAGTTTCCAAAAATTAGTAGTGAACCGAAAATGATTTATGCCTGTGTTTTACTTTGTGCATTCATCCCATTCGCATACACATTAGAGGTAGATATTTTTTATTTTAAATCATAATTTGACAATATGTGACATTCGATACTTATCGCTAATCTGAAATATTATAATTGAAACTAAATATAACAACATTTTCCTACTAATGTAATCAGTAGTAATTAATAAATACTATTGTTGGTTCACAAAGTAATCAGAAAATTTTTTCCATTAGCCCGAACAGTATTTTACTGATAATGAAGCCAAAGAAGGTATTCAATTTTAAACATTTAAACCTTTTTTAAACATATATGTTTTTTCTAGAGGAATAATGAATCTTGAAACTTCAATTTACTTATTAATATTATTTAATAAAGTTATAAACAATTGTTGTAAACAAAGTATATATTAACCATAATTGAATATAAAAAAATTGTTTAACATTGACTTAATTCAGATGCAACAAAAATTACAATACGTTTTTTATGTGAGAGTAATGACAATAACAGCATTTTACTTTACTTATTGTAAATAATTAATTTGTTTACAAGAATTGTTTATCACTTTGTTAAATGAAAAATAAGAATTAAATTTATGTTTTAAGATATATTCACTCTAGAGAAAAAAGTATATTGGAAGAAAAAATAATTTTTTATATTCCATTACTGTTAATATTTACTTTGTTTACAACGATTATTTATAACTCTATTAAAAAATATCAATAGGTAAATTAATGTTTCAAGATTCATTCAGCCTCTAGAAAAAAGATAGTTAAAGAAAAAACGAAATTTTTACACGTTTACTTGTTGCTAATTTTGAATTTGTTTATAACAATTGTTTATAACAATTGTTTATAAAGTTGTTAAATAATTGTGATCAATAATTTATATCTCAGAGATTTGTAACGAGAACAGTAAAATAGTCGGAGGAAGAAGACACTATTTTTCAGCTTCAATTGTTCTCAATTCTTAATTTGTTTATAAAATTGTTTATATAACATTGTTTAATAATAATGTTAAACAATTTTTATCCTCAACATTCATTGCAACTATATAAATAAGAGCGATAAGGAAACAAAAATTTTTATTTCATTGTTTGTGTTTTATAAAAATCAATTTGTTTATTAAAATTGTTTAAAATTTTGTTAAATTAGTCATTTCTTGTTTAAACAATCGTAACTTTTAATCCTTAAGTCAAAAGCTAAATTTTCTATACTAATAAGTTTAATTATTGTTTTTATTGTTAGCCTGGGATAAAATAAAAATTTTATTATTAATATTATTAAATTTGACATTTCCTTCAAATAACTTTTCAAAGTAACTCAAAAAATGGTAATTTTTTCTTATTAACAATTTTATTCTCAACTTAAAAGGCATTAATTTAAAATTATGTTTCGTATATCTGCGCAATAGATAAAGAAATATCTATATATATATAGTTTGAGAATAACAAGAATAAGATGAACTAAAAAGAAACTGAGTAAATTTTCCACTTGGTCAGGAAATCCGTGCATTTCACAGACTTTAATGGAAGAAAGATAAGAGTTGAAAAGATAATGCAAAAAGGAAGTCGAGCGCTTTTCTTTACTTTAACTGAAAAATCAGTTTGTTTCGCCAATGCCAACCTCTTGAGAATTATTTCTGCTTTATTTCGTGTCCTTAATTAAATCTACGTGAAATCCGAAAATAATGACGAAAGTATTTAAATTCACTTATTATAAATTTAATTCAGAAATTTTATTGTTATAATTTCTTTCAAATCAGAAGATTATTTTCATCTTAAAATCTTAAATGTGATTAAAAAAATATATTTATTTTGTTTTTAAATGAATTTTAATAACAAATTTATTTTTATAATTTTAGTAATAATATTATATATTGTTTATCATTTTATTATTATTATTTCTATTATTATTTATTTTTATTAATTACAAATAATATACTGATCCATATGATAGGATTTTTAGAAAATATTTCAAAGTGGTTTCCGGAAATTGTCGAGCAAATTTCCGGAATAATTTCTGGTTTTATCCGGAAACTACCTTCGGATGTTTTCCTAAAATCACTTACTGACATTTCCCAAAATCTTTGGATCTCGGAATTATTATTATTATAATTATTATAATGTGCAATTTTAATGTAAAATACTTGATAATTATTATAGTATTATTATTTTTATTGTCTAAATAGTAATTTTTACAATTATTCATAATTTAATTTTTATTAGCGAGTTTATATTTTTAATAAAAATTAATGATTTTCCTCATCTCTATACAATAAAAAATCATAAAAATAAAATCTATTATACAATCGATTTCATAATTAGTGTTTGAAAAAATGTAATGTACAATATAATATATCAAATTTTTTATTTCATCGTTGAAAAATAAACATTTACGAACTATATATATATATGAGGTGAAAAGATGTCCATAAAATATGTTTTGGTTTATTACCTTACTCGACTCGCCTTCTCACATCAGTGAAATTTCCTCGCGTCTAGAGAGGATGAGGGATGCCGAGAAATGACTTTTCATTCCCCGAGGGCTGACGCGGATACAGGCAATTAAAATTAGGAGGGAACCGTGTCGATAAAGTTAGTCTATTTATTTTTTGATTGTATTCTAACTCTCGAGTATTTTAAAAAAAGGTTTTTCAATTTTACAAAAAGAAAATACTGTTTAGTGTTCATGTAATTTTAATTTAACAAGTTGGAGATGGGGTAATTTTTTCAAAACAATAAGCTTTCATAATTTTGTTGTAAAAAAGTAGTAATACTTTTTGCAGTAAGGAAATTGTCAATTTTTATTTGTAGTAAAAAATTAGCAATTTTAACTTTTTGTTATAAAAAAATTAGCATAAATTTGTTCTATGGAAAAAATTGTCAATTGATTTTTATAGTAAAAGGTTAGGGATCCATTTTTGGTATACATTTTTAATTTGTAGTAAAAATTTAGTGATTGTTTCTTGTGGTAGAAAAACTATCAACTGCTTTTTGTGGTAAAAAATTAGCAATAGATTTTTGTAGTAGAAAAAAAATAATATTAATAGTTTTTTGTAGTAAAAAATATTTAATTGGTTTTTAATTTTTTATAATACATCATTATTAATTCCTGTTTGTAGAAAAAAAATAGTGATAGTAGTTGTAGTAAAGAATTAGCGTTAATTATTTGTAGTAAAAAATTGTGAATTGTTTTTTATAGTTTGTAGTAAAAAATTAGTGGTATTTTTTGTAGTAAGAAAATTATCAATTTTTTACTTTAGTAAAAATATAGTTTTTTTACAGTTAAAATTTAGAGAGAGCATTTTTGCAGTTAAAAAAATTTTTAATTGGTGTTTATAAAAAATTATGAATTATTCATAGCGAAAATGATCAATTGTTTATTTAATGAAAAATTATTATTGATAGTTTCTTTAATAAATGATAAAGAAATGAAAAAGTAAAATGCTTCTAAAAGATATTTAACCAAAGGAGAGTGTTTTTTAAAAGATAAAAATGTTTTATAAGGGTAATAATAATGTTTATGACTTTTGAAATAAATATTTCACAAGCTCCTATTTCCCATTTTCAAGTTTGCTAAAAGTTTATTTTACAATTATCGCAAACGTGACATAATTATAGTAAAGCTCAGGTGGAAAAATAAGACATAAAAATCTACAGGGAATTTGCAATAAACCAAATATTAAACAATACACTTTAGTACAGTAAATCTTAACTAACGTGGAGTTAAATTTATCGTACTATTAGAAAAATACGTTTCTGATCATCGCCAATATTTTTTTTTTGTAATATATTTAAAAATTTTAATATTTACCCATTTTTCAATTACTGAAATTTTTTTCTTGGTTTAAAAAAAAAAGAAAATTATATTTGAACTAATATATTTTTTCATGGTATTATTTAATAGAAAGCTATAAATTATTTTCTTGTTTTCGTCTGTACAATATTCAAAAATGTTTTAACGAAACTGAAATCTTATGGGAAGGTTATAAAGTCAAGAGATGAGATTGAAGTATATTCTTATCTGAGGGCGACGTTTATTTTCGTTGTCAAATCGATAAAACTGAGGACGAATGAGAAGGAGATAAAGAAAAAAAAGGAAAAAGAAGTTTCGCGAGATTTATGGAACGACGAAAGCTTAGATTATGGTCAATTCGCAAAACTCTTGTATTGCGAATGAAACGGAAAAGATAATTCTCAACTTTTTCATTTTAATTTTATTGCTTATTGTTCTGTTACTTCTTGAATATGAACAGAACATAAATGTTTCAATTTTAAAAGAAAAATGTCATTTTCGAGTTTAAATTTTGTTAATTTAGAAAAAGTGGGATCGAAATTTGAAGCATTTAGAATTTAGGATAAATTTTTTAATTGTAGATAAAATTAATAAATATGTTAATATATAAAGTTAATTTAATAATTAGTAATAGAATTAGCAGAAAAATTAAATTACGATTCGTAGTCACAGTGCAATGGATTGAATTTCATTTGTTAAGAATCATTTCAATAAGGGAATGGAAAATTTCAATTTTTTTTCCAACGACCCATTAAGGTAACATCTGCTTTTTCTTTCCAGGCATTTCTTTTTTCTTCTTTCTTTCTTTCGTCCCTTATTTCTAGCTCCATGGAAAATATGTCTTGCATGCGAGGTTGAACTGCGAATAAGGTCTCATTTTTAACCATTCTTTAAACGTTTTCCGGTATCGCATTCTTCACTCGCGTTCCTGATCGAAAAGGGAGCTGAACTCTCATAACGTTATCTCTTAGCAGAACGACCATAATTCAACGTCTCATACTATGCACTCGGTAATTTCTTTCTTGAGAATTTCTCCAACTCGATCTGTGTGATGGATTTCTTGACACGCGGCACACGTATTTTATAATCGAGTAAATCGATAATGCTCGACATGAATTTCACTTGGTCTATAGATATATATATATATATTTTTCGACATTAAGAAAAATTATTCCACTGAAATTACATCGGATATATATTATTCAAAATTCAACACATTCTCCAAAGAATATTTTCAAATAAAATTGATATTGAATTAAAAATAATTTTTTTAATTACTGAAGAACAATAAAAAAATTACCGATTAATCACACAGTTTTTCGAAGGATATCGAATTGAAATAATAAACGTATCAAAATTGTTGCGGTGCAGCTTTATCGAAAGAGAGAAAATGTTGAATAAATAAATTACAAAATAATTATTTCAGTCTTTTTATTGTATGATTTTCAAAAGAAAAAAAAGATTGTTGGATCTTTG